CCACCCCGCCCGTCTCCCCACCCCGAGGCCTGAAGGGTGGGCTGAGAGGCCTGGGTGGCAGGGGCGGCCGGTAGCGTTTGAGGTGGGCCGTTGGGTCCGGCCCAGGGGCGGCAAGCCTGACTCGGGGTGCGTGGGATGGGGATGGGTTGGCGGGCACCGCCCGTCTGCAGGCACAGGCCTTAGAAACCGGTCTTCCCGGCTGCTGCCTCTTGGCGTCCCCAGGGTAGGTGCCGCCGCCCTGCCAGCGAGGCCCTGGCTGCAAAGCCGCTCCAGCTCCCTGTGGCCCTGGCCTGGGTGGGCTGAAAGGAGGTGCTTTATGGAGCCTTACTGACTGCCTGAGGCTTCCTGAAACCTCGCTAGAACCCCATGATGTGGGTGGTTATTTTCCTGTTCCTAATGGGGACTCTGACTTCCATGGTGGCTAAGAGACTTGCCCAAAGTTAAAACTGCCAGGAATGACAGATGCTCCATTTGAACCCAAGCCTCTGACCTCACAACAACTCTTGCTTCATATTAACCAGTAGGAAGATGAGGCCTGTTGGATCCCAACATATCCTGTGATAGGCCTGCAAGGGCAGAAGAGACAAAAAAATTTTCTGTCCCACAGAAAATATAGTCACAGGTGAATGGTGCAGTGAAAAAAAAAAGTAGGCACATAGTAGAGGGGCAGCATAAAATATTAGACCCCTGGAAGGGTCTTCTGGTTCATCTGTCTTTAAGATGTGGGCTCCTATAGAAGCTAAAACCACATTTTAATTAATTAGTTCTTTGATGCAGGTAGCACACGTAGGTACTTACAGAGGAGTGCTAAATTATTCTTATTTTAGAAATTGAGCCACAAGCAATTTCACCCTCAGGCACATTACCCCAACAAGTGCTAGTCTCCTGACTCCTAAAAGGGTTCTGTAGGACAGTACTTCCTAAATACTTATATTTAAAAAGAAATGAAATTACATATGTCACCATGGCCACCTTATACATCCCGATTATTTGGCAACTTTCCAAATCAAAGTGAAATGGACATCCTTAAATTTGTAGACCACTTTTGAACATACATGAGGATCTTATATTAAAGTAAAATGAACATTTTAATAGGGTCAAAACGTGTGGGCTGTTTTCATAATATTCCTAATCATTTAGGGTATTTTTACTCTTTTATTGGGGAATTCTGTGGTGTAATTATGTTGAAAATATTTTATACCTATATTCAAGATGATACTTATTTTCAGAATTTACTGGATTTTAAAAAAAACAAACTAATTTTAAGTTGTATAATGGGATTTGCAAAGATTTTGATGTCATAAAGCACCTAAAAACTTCTCCATGGAAATGAATCATGCATTAACCTGAAGTGTTTTGATGTAGATTTCAATCTTATCGCACAGCCTAGTTCTCTATTCTGGGGCAGACACTTAGATGTCATTAATAGTTGCTTTTAACTCAGGAGTCAATCAAGTCACTCCAAAGGAAACGCTAGGTTGCAGATTTATTATATAGCATTAAAGGGTCATTCATTTAGAATGGTCAAGTATTTTCATAATCTTTAATTCAGGAAAGCCATATTTTTGCCTAGCATAAGTTAAAAGCAAAATTGAAGTAATCTATTAAGCATTCTGTTCTCATGGACCACCTCATTCTCACTTCACTGCAGCCATCTCCTGTACACTGATGACACATTTTTATACCCGCCTCCTGCTGTTTCCTGTGCTCTACAATACAATGATTCTCAGTCTAAGGTGTTCATCAGAATCACCAGTAGAGCACTTAAAAAAATATAGTTGCCCAGGCTCTGCCCCAGACCAAATGAATCAAAATCTCTGGGGAGGTAGGTGGGGAAAGCATTCTAGAATTTTAAGTGTTAGAGGTAGGATTAGCAGCCTCAGTAGACTGGTTTCCCCTTATCACTGTGGTCGCCTGTCACTAACACCTGTCTAGGCCAGCCTAGGGGATTCTGTTTACTACCAATAAGACGAAGTCTGTGTTAAAGGCAGCTTTGTCTTTTGTTTTCCCCCTTTAGGTTGGTTTCAATGCGGATGAAGCCCACAATATTGTTAAAGAGGTAAGCTATACATCTTGTTCATTTTGAGGGCTGCTGCATTGATTGCAGTTTTAAAAAGCTGTGTTTTGACTTTCAGTACAAAGTTAGAAACCTTAGTATTAAAACAAGATTTTTAGTATTTTATTGCTAATTCTTTACAGGAGCGCTTCTATGTTTTCTTTCCCCCCCCAACCCCTTTAATTTAACTTTATTGATTTCCCCTTGATTTTATTTTTTTAATTTATCTTTATTGTTGAAAGTATTACAGACATCCTCTTTTTTCCCCCATTGACCCCTTCTTCCCTGCACCAACGCCCCCCTTTCACTCCAGTATATGATTTTGTTGATTTCTCGAGAGAGAGGAAGGGAGAGAAAGAGAGAGAGAAACATTGATGGGAGAAACATCGATTGGTTGCCTCCCATACTTGCCCCGACAAGGGATCGCACCTTCAACCTTTCTGTGTACAGGACGACTCTCCAACCAATTGACCCACCCGGCCAATGCTTTTATGTTGTGTTGTATGCTTCCAGGCATCTGGAGCTTACTCTGAAAGTGATGTTTAAGTATGAGTCCAAAAAACTGGTTTGCTGTTTTCTAAAATTGATGCCCTGTCTTTTGAACAAAATAACTTTTATCCCAGTAGGCCAAATATTATTTTAAATGTTAATACTATAGATACACATATACATACTTTTATATATGTAAATTTATATATTTATATATGTCATATATATCAGAGAAATAAGAGACCATAGAAATATCTGCCTTTGGTCATTATATGTTTTATTTAGCCCGATATAATTGGAAAAATAATTACTTAACATCTTTTAGACACTGGTATGATGGTAAATCAAAATCTTGAGAACAATATTTGAAATATCAGTCTGGCCTTCTGTTAGGCAAATAGACAAGTAGTTCTCTTTGGGAATCAATTCTTGCAGAAGAATTAGTCTAGTGGCATCTACACTGTGGGTAAGGTATTTATGCACACTTTTAATAGTCCTGAGTCATTTTTAACTGTGCCAAATCCTAGAAAAAATCAGCTGACCTAGAAAGCAGGCTTGTTTTATTGGTATGGCTGTTGGGGCCTGTGTCCTAGCCGACCCTACCTGCCTTTAGTCTAGGCATTGAACACCTCATCAGCCTGTCCTGAGGCAGTGCCTTACCTGCCTGAATGTTCTGGGACATACACTCACCCAGAACTCAGTCAGAGCTCACGTTGTACCACTATGATCAGCTTGAGGCCTAGACAGGCACCTGAAAATCCTGCCATATTTCAATAGTTCAGAAATATGTGTCAGAACTATGTAGCCCAGGAATATTTAATTTTTAAAACAATGCAAATGTTTTCAATACCTTGACAGTACAAAAGCAAATGAGGGCAATTGGGAGGTGGGAGAGGGGATGGAGGTCATGGGAAAGGCAGGAGTGATAACAACCTTATTTCTCATAGTGTTCCTGGTTGATGGAACATAAAGAAAAGGATGCTGGGGTATTTGAGTAGCCTTTTAAATAGACTTCTTTTTTTAAAAATATATATCTTTATTGATTTCAGAGAGAGGAAGGGAGAGAGAGAGAGATAGAAACATCAATGATGAGAGAGTCGTCATTGATCAGCTGCCTCCTACACTCCCCCGACTGGGGATCGAGCCTGGAACCCGGGCATGTGCCCTGACCGGGAATCAAACCGTGATCTCCTGGATCCTAGGTCGATGCTCAACCACTGAGCCATGCACGGCCAGGCTAGACCTTCTTTACTCACGTTCTGAGCCAAATGAAAAGACAAGAATCACCAGAAAGAATAAAATATCATCTTTATTATTGGTAAAGACTAGGTTGGAGATTGGAGCACGTTTTGCTAACTGTTATGTTCAGGCCTTGGAAGAGGCATCCAAGGGAAAGATTGAGTCAGCAGAGAGAAACAGTTAGCCAGGCTGGCACCTTTTGTTGGTCTGGGTGGAGAGGGAAGGAGGAACCAAACACTTAAGTCCAAGGCATTTGAGAGATTGGCTCTCCCAAATGAGAATGGTGGAACAACAGTTGTCACTCATCAACCAAGTAACTCATTCCTCCTCCATGGGGAGGAATAATAACAGGTGGGAAAAGAGGCTAGAAATGTTAAGGAAAAATCCTCTGTGTGGAGGGAAATGCCTGGAGTGGAAAAGAAACATGCTCCTAACAGTGTAAATATATTGAAGCAAAAATACTGAATTCACTATTGAGGGAAAGAGACAGAAGGTGGCAGGTGCTCTGAGGGAACTAAATTTTCATTTCTCTCAGTAGAAGCTCTAGAGACGTTGTCTATTTCATAAATCAGGAAATGTTGGTATAAACATTATTTGGATGCTGGGATAATCTCTTTTAGATGAAATAAAAACAGTTGTACATTGACAGGATTTCCTCTAGGGAATGGAACTGGGAATGGGGAAGGGTGAGGAGGGGATTCTTGCTTTTCATTGTAATCTCCTCTCTTCTGTTGGATTTTTAAAACCTTGTGCATGTATTACTTTCATGTTTTATTAAATTAAAGAACCATGCTTCTTAAACTGGTATATGCATTTTTGGCGGTGGCTAGGTGGGGCAAGGAGCCACTGGGTGGGTTTTAGAGCATTGGTTTTACTTAAATACTTGCAAGAGAGAATTAAATAATATAAATAATTTAGCCAAAAACATTTTTTAATAAAAAACAAACTCTGATACATTATGGAGTCAAAAGCAGGCTTCAGTTGAAGTTTTTTTAAAAATATGTCTTGCCCGGCCGGCCGTGGCTCAGCGGTTGAGAGTCGACCTAGGATGCAGGCGATCGGGGTTTGATTCCCGGTCAGGGCACATGCTCGGGTTGCGGGCTTGATCAATGACTTTCTCATCATTGATGTTTCTCTCTCTCTCTCTCTCTCTCTTCCTCTCCTTTTCCCTCTCTGAAATCAATAAAGATATATTTAAAAAAAAAAAAGTCTTAATTGATTTCAGAGAGAGGAAGGGAGAGGGAGGGAGAGAGAAACACCAGTGATGAGAGTCATTCATCAGCTGCCTCCTGCACGCCCCCTACTGGGGATCAAGCCCAAAACCCAGGCATGTGCCCTGACTAGGAATCCAACCATGATCTCCTGGATCCTAGGTCTATGCTTAACCACTGAGCCACTCCGACCAGGCTTCACTTGAAATTTTTATATGAAATAAGAGAGAGACTTCAAACAAATCTCAGGTCAGCTACATGTCTATCCTCTTCCCCGCTCCTCACTTCCCATGAACCAGCTTTTTGCTCCTGAGGCATTGGAGTGGACGTGGGGTGGAAGGGGTCAGTGGGGAAAAGGGGGAATACTTTCAACAATAAAGATAAATTTTAAAAAAGAAAGAAAAGGCTTGAGAGAGTGAGAGAGCACTATTTTAAAACATTTCAGCATTTTCTAGATGATAACAGTTTCAGTAGGGATTTCTGTTTTCCTTATCTCTTTCTAATCTTATTTTCTTTCCTTAGGATTCTTACTCTGAGCCCCTATGCTAATATTTTTCCCTCAGAATTCCTTAGATCCACTCACTTATCAGTGATATGCATATATTTTATTTGTTATCAGTAATAGAATTAGCCCCCAAATAAATTCTCAAAGAAAAGGTGAGTTACAAGTGGGATAAACATGAAATTTAGTCTAAAGTAGATTTGATTTAGGATACCCAGAGAATATGTCAAAGCCAATATTACTTCAACAACAAACATTTACTGAGTGCCAGCTACGTGCCCATTTCCTGAGATTGGCCCTGGGAATACAGACAGGTTAAGGACCTCAATATCTAGTGGGCCTCTTGGGTGATGCTAATTAAGAAGGCTAAGTGTTGCCAGGCCACATGGCTCAGTGGTTAAGCATTGATTTCTGTTCAGGGCACATGAAGGGCTTGTGGTCTCGATCCCCAGTAGGGGCCTTGCAGGAGGCAGCCAGTCAATGACTCTCTCTCATCGATGTTTCTATCTCTCTCTCCTTCTCCCTTTCTCTGAAATCAATAAAGACATATTTTTTAAAAATAAGGCTAAGTGTTAATTAATGGTAATTAGCAAGGCTATTTACAGTGGGACCCAGAGCCCCTGATGTTTTTCTGTTGTTTAGATACCCTGAAAGAACTAAGATAAGGAGTGCTCTTAGTTTCCCATTCAGGAAAGGCAGTCTAGGGAGAGTAGGAAGTTTACCTAAGGTCGTCAGCTTGGGAATGATAAAGCCAGAATTAAAACCCTGTTGCCCTGACCCTTGGGCTACTGGCCCTTCTAACTCTGTCATGCTATTGTATACTCCAGGAGAATAATTTGAGCCCATTCCTTTCTTCAACTCCTCTAAATCTAACTTTTCTTTCTACATTTTATCGTTAGTGAAGATTTCATACTGTCTAGCTTAACATTTCATATTAATTTGTGCCTTTATGAATTTTTACTACAATTGTAGTAAATGAAAGCTGCATATGTACACATGCTCGTGTGTGTGTGTGTGTGTGTGCGTGTGTGCGCGCTCATGCTCGCGCAAGGGGGGGGGAGAGAGAGAGAGAGAGAGAGAGAGAGAGAGAGAGAGAGAGAGAGATTAAACTGTATTCTATAAATGAATTGAAAGTGCTTTATTATCCAGGCTCTATCACTTGAATATAAAATAATAGCAGCAAAATTAGTCAGAGAAAGACAAATACTGCATGATCTCACTTATATGTGGAATCTAAAAGAGTTGAACTCATAGAAACAAAATAGAATGGTGGTTGCCAAGGGCTCGGGGAGCAGGAGGAGAGACAGGAAAATGTAAGTCAAAGGGCACAAACTTCCAGTTATAAGATGAGTAATTTCTGGGGATCTAATGTACAGCATGGTAACTACAGTTAACACTGTATTGTATACTTGAAAGTTGCTGAAAGTAGATCTTAAATGTTCTCAACACACATGCAAAAATAATAACTGAGAAGATGGGTACATTAATTCACCTTATCATGGTAATTATTTCACAGTATATATATGTGTGTGTATCAAATCATCACATTGTATACCTTAAACCTACATGATATTATGTGTTAATTATATCTCAGTAAAACTGGAAAAGTAAAATAAGCAGCAATAATAATGATGATGAAGATAATATCTAACATGACTTATTGTGCTTACTCTGTGGCAGTCACTGTTTGAGCACATGGCATTCATTATATCCCTCCATTCTCACAACCACCTGATGAGGTGAGGCTGTTGTAGCTCTAAATAGGGGCTTCAAGAGGTTTAGTCACTTGCAAAAGGTCACACGGAGTAAGTAGGTGGCAGTGGTGACCTTAAAACCTAAGATTGTGATTCTGAACCAGTGCTCTTAATTAGATATCAGAAGTGGATGGAAGTAAGTACTGTGGAAAATTATTTAACTTTACCTTTATAGAGCACCCGAAAAATAGTGTTTGTTGATGATTTACTTTTAGTGGCAGGCGTGATAGTTTTATAGCTAAGCAGTTCCATAATATGAATGAGAATGTAATTATTATACATGATAATTAAGTTTAAAATTGGTCTCTAGCTTTGTTTTTAGCATTTGAAACCTAGTTAAAATCTCAACTGTTTCAAAGCCATTCTTTAACCAATTGATATCACCCTTTTTAAATCTCCACCTGCATAATCCTTTTATGATATAATTTATCACCCTTGATTAGTCTTCCTTGTGTTACAGGATTATTAGCTTATTTGCTAGATTAAGTTCCTTACAACAGATGCCATGTCATATTTATCTTTATGTGACCCATAGTATCTCTTAGGGTGAGATAATGCATGTGGAAATGCTTTGAAAATTCTTAAACAATTAGAGACACTGCTTAATACTTACTAGATGCATATTTTCTAAGATGCTTTATTGGGTTATAAATGCATTTTGTGTTTTGAATACATTTTTTGCTGCAATTTGTGTATAATTTATTTAACTGTCCTCTGCCCTTTTAGTGTATAGATGGAGTTTTGGGTGGTGAAGATTATAATTACAACAACATCAACCAGTGGACTGCAAGCATAGTGGAACAATCCTTAGCACATTTGGTTAAGTTGGGAAAAGCTTATAAATACATTGGTAAGTATTGCTGTCCTGCCTTAGAAGTTCACTCACCTTTGTCCTTGTGGATTTTCTCTGAATTTAGAGAATATAAATGAATGATAGACACTGTAGTTGGACATTAATAGGGTATGAAGGACTTCTGACATTCATCTGAAGATAATATATGATAATATCTAAAAGATGGAAATCTTTTGCTATTCTTTTCTCTTTTCTCTTCTTTTCTCTTTTCTTTTCCTTTGTTTTCTTTTCCTTTCTCTTCTCTCCTTTTCTTTTCTTTCTTTTTTTTAACACTTTATTAAATTTATTGGGGTGACAATGGTTAATATGAACATATAGGTTTCAGGTGTGGGTTTCTATGTTACAAGGTCTGTATATTGCTCTGTGTGCCCACTACCCAAAGTCATATCTTCTTCCCGTCACCAAAAGCAGTTTGAGCTCTTGCTAATCATCTATTTTTGTTTGGTAGCATCACCTTTTACATTTATATCAGTTATCTCCACCGAAACCTACTGAACACTACTGTCTTCCTTTGAGTAACCCGATGCCTCCTTACATGTAGGACTGTGAAGTACCACACAATAATTGTTTGTAAAGTGGAATATTTTCTTTGACTAAATTATGCCCATGAGGCAGGGAACATAACCAGTAGTTATGGCAGTGGGTAACAAACAGAATGGATCCAGTGGGGACAAAATCATGGTGGCAGATAATCAAAGTGAGGGACTCTTTTTTTTTTTTTTAATTTATTTGCTGAATGCTTTGTTTTCTATTATTTTTATACCCTTTAAAGCTCTGAACTCAAACACTTAGTCTTGGATATCTTTTCCTTTGTTTATAAGTGTCTTCATTCTGTGACTTTATTTTTAGTGACCTGTGCAGTGGTCCAGAGGAGTGCATATGGCTTTCACACAGCCAGCTCATGCTTTTGGGATACCACATCTGATGGTAAGAGACTTTAAGCTGATTCAAACAAAATCCAACTACTAGCAAAGTCAAACAGTGTACTTATTATCAGATGCTTATTTATTTCTAATTAAATTCTGAAAAGACTTTATCAACAGAATTGCTTTGTACCTAAGTATAACTAACAAGTATGATTTCAGACAAATATGAAATGTTGACATTTAACAGATTGCAGGAAATAAGATATTAAAACCTATGAAAATGCATATGTATATTCTCTGATAATTTTGATGTTTTGCTGGTATTTCAAAGTCCTTTTGTGTGTGTGTTTTCAGGAACCTGTACCGTAAGATGGGAGAACCGAACCATGAACTGTATCGTCAATGTTTTTGCCATTGCTATTGTCCTGTGACAGACTAAAAATGTTTGGCCAAAGCAATTAACTTAAGAATTTGTCAGTGTATCTTTTCTAAAAAGAGTTACTTATTAATATGCTAGATGACAAGTGTGCAATATGCTTCAAAGCTACCAACAAAAACTGGATATTATAAGCAAGCAATCTCATACATAGTAAGTTGGCAGATATGCTCATATTATATATATACAAAATCATTTCAATAAAAAATTTAATATTAGCAAAAATCATACAGAAACATGGCATGGCATGAAAATACAGCCTTATATTTACACCAGCTTTTCACTAACATGTACCTAAGCATATAGGGAAATCCATTCAGACAATAAAATTCTCTTTCAGCTTCAAAGAAGTTAACAAGAAGAAATATATGAACAAAAATGCTGCAAGGATAAATCTGGAGAAAATAATAATGAACTAACACTTCTTAAGTTTGTGTTTCTTATCCTCAGTTGTACATATGAAAGTAATTGTTCTTTTTTTCTCTTAACTAATTTTGCAGTAGCAACTAGTATTAACTTGTTTACATTTTCTGAGAACTGTTAAAACAGTTTTTAAAATTTCAAAATCTTGGATTTACATTTGAGGGCGAATTAAATCTGGTAACCTTGAATTCCCTTGTTAAACAAAATGAGCTATGGTGTATGATGAAAAGTATCTGACTACTAACTGTCTTACAATTCATGCATTCCATGTGTAATAGACACTGTTGAATGCTTGTTATGAATATATTTCTCTGCTAGTCATTATAGTTATCAATCTGCTGTTCAAATTCTAAGTTTCTTTTGGCACCTCTTCAGTTGGACTATTAACATTTATGTTTGGGGAAGGAAAAAAGTCATTTTACAAGAGAGGGAAAAGGTGAATTTGGTTATCCGTGTAGAAGTAAGCAAAGTGAAAAGCACTTATTGCTGACAGCGAATCATAGCTATAATTTTAAGAATTGCTCCTAGCAAGCAAAAAATGCATAAAATATGCAGCTCTTAGTTAAAGGCCTTATTAGCAGCATTATTTTACAAGTAGTAAATTTTATCACTACTTTAGTTACAACTATCTGTACATAATTTTAAATACTTATGTGGGGTTCAAATTAATTGGAATGAAGTGTAAAAGTATACAATCATTGGCAAGTTATTGAAAATCTCAGGGCTTATGAAATGTAATTAAATTGATTTAAAAAGGTACACAGCTGGCCACTAAATGCGAAGTCAATCTGCTATTTAACCTTGAAAACAAAATCAAGTTTCCATATTACCACTAACACTAATACATATAGGGAATGGAACCATGATTCATTGAATTTGGAAGGAAAGAATAGCTTGGTATTAATACTGACAATATTAAGATAATATTCTTGTAGGAATACTATGTGCATGTTTGATATTTTAAGTAACGATAATTCTTCAATGTTTAAAAAGAATATTAAGAAAATACAAGGGTAGAGTTCAATGCACTGATGTACATTTTTGGCCCGTGGGAAATTCTCATAGTCATTACCTTTATATTAGTTTACACTGCTGGCTTTTGTACCCTTGAATATTATATTAGTGACCAAAATATCTGTGCAGTTAAGACTCATTTTGATTATTGCTATTGAAGCCTGATCTTAGAAGAGTAATAATCAAAAATACCTCGTGAATTTGCTATCTGCTCTGTTTCTAGTTACAATATAATAAAGATTATCTTCCTGTGCTGTACTTTTGCTTCTGGATGATCATTGAATAGTTAAAGAAATGGTATTGTGTTTACTCTAAGAAATTTTAAATAGGAGGAGTGAGGAAGAAAAATGAATGTCAGGCCACATAGATATATCGTACAGAATAAATACTGTTAGCATAGCAACCCGAAACCAGGATTCACCATTACAACATAATGAATGGCTTCTATTTTATGCCCTTTCTTTTACTATTTTAACACAAAATTTTATTTTAAAAAGTCAGTGTAAACTATATTCTGTAACTATTTATTAGCTTTTAATGACCACTTTTGGCAAGGAATTTTGTCCTGTTTGTCAACTTGCAATTGAGTTGTTGTGTTTGTTTGTTTTTAATTAATGACTTTAAGTACGTAAAATTAGGGCATTCAAATGTAAGTACTAACTCAGATTTTTGTAAAGCTGTAATTTTATGTTTGTAAAGTACCAGTGTGCTCACCTAAATGATAGCAACATCTCATTTCATTTTCTCTAGTAAAAGGTACTTTTGCTCTTCTTTCCAAGTTGGATGTTATCTAATTATGAGTCACTAAAGCATTTTCACTGCCTACATTCATCATCACTGTTTTAAAGTAATTTTATAAAGCCACAGATTATATTTTCAAAGTTTGAGTGAAAAAAGCCTATCTTTGATAACAGCTTTTTTAAAGTGGGAGAAAAATCTGTGACATTTTGTGGCACAGAAACCAGATCTTTCTTATAGCAGACACCAAAGCAAAGTTTGAGAAATGAATTGAAAATTTTACCACATGTGTAGATTCTCCCCAAGGAGAATTTGTTTTATAATCCAGAAGGTGAAACTATATTTGTGACTTAAGAGGCTTATAGGCTAGTAATTCAGTAAAATTGATCTTTGCATGTTTATTAAATTCCCTATAAAAGGATCTTAGCATTCAGCCCTTACAAGTTTTAGATGCCCACCATCAGTCAATATATATTAACTTCAGTGGTCCAGGAGATTCTAGCCCACCTTGTCTAATTACAAACCCTGTATTTCTCACTGTGGTTCCACTTAATGGCATTCCATGTCATCCTTGGATATATGTAGGGTATATTGACAATCCAGACCTAATTAGAAATGGCCTCTAATTGCTTCATGAAGAGTGTCTCTTCCCAAAATGGTTTCTGAGGATCTTGGGGACAAAGCTAGAACTTTGTACAGACATTTGCAGCACCACTGTTATGGTATGTGTCTTCCTATAGGACCCAAAATGTGGGCAACTACCCCCACTCTGGGATCTTTTAAGGGTGAAAGCCATCTGGGGAGGTTTCTTTGCAGCTCCTACTAGCCAGATCAGGGAATTTGATGCTGGGATTTATCCAGTACTATATATTCAATTTTTTTCATTCCAAAATACATAACTTTTTATTTTACTGAATGCTTCATCTTTTAAGATACATTTTAAGTATGCTATCTTCTTACTTGAGATATTTCAATCTTGGTTTTTTAGGGCAGAGTTTTATTTGAGGCAGTATCATTACTTAATGAAAGTTCTGTCAACACTCATTTTAATCCCCTATAAATGCCTTATGGAGAAAATCTCCATGAAAATTATTACATTGTGGCATGTACTGACTGACCTTTCCTTAACCTTTAACTTTGTAGGCTAGGAAAAGGTTTTCATAGTTAATGCTCATGCAGAATAGTACCCCAAATGTTTAGGATTAGAATAATGATCTCTTAATAATGAGATTAAATTAAAGCAAATTTCTGTAAATGGTCAAATAATAAATATTTGAGACTTTTGCAGTATACTGTCCTAGCAAGAAAGCAGCCATAGGCAATAAATAAAGGAATGGGTGTGACTGTCTTCCCATAAAGCTTTATTTGCAAAAACGTGGCAGGCTGGCAAGAGTTTACCAACCCTTGCATTAGAGTAAGTAGTGTTTCCTAGTCACTTAATAAATTATATCTTAATGATCTGAGAACTTTTTTTCTTCTTACTGTACTCAGTTATAAACAATGGAAAACAAAGCACTTATGTATATTGTGTTTATATTATCTTGGACCTGGAGGGACGTTATCAGTAAGCCAAACCTGTACTCTTTTTTTTCTTTTTTTAATCTCTCCTCACCCCCAACCCCCACCCCTACCTTCTCTCTGAGATTCGTCAGTCTTTTCCATGCTTCTATGTCTCTGGATCTATTTTGTTCATCAGTTTATTTTGTTCATTAGATTCTACATATGAGTAAGATCATGTGATACTTGTCTTTCTCTGCCTGGCTTATTTCACTTAGCATAATACTCTCCAGGTCCCACCATGCTGTCTCATAGGATACGGGATCCTTTTTTATAGCTGCATAGTATTCCATGGTGTAAGTGTCTGAGAAGATGCTCTATATGATTTCAATCTTCTTGAACTTGTAGAGACTTCTTTTGTGTCCTAACATGTGGTCTATTTTTAAAAATGTCTCATGTGCACTTGAGGAGAATGCATATTCTGAAGCTTTGGGATGAAATATTCTTTAAATGTCAATTAAATCCATCTGATCTAGTGTGCCATTTAAAGTCACTGTTTCCTTGTTGATTTTTTGTCTGGAAGATCTATCCATTGAATTCAGTCAGGTGTTAAAGTCTCCTACTATGTTTGTATTTCTGTCGATCTCTCCATTAAAGTCCTCTAGAAGCTTGTTTTTTCAGCCTATGTGAATCTTTTGTTCTGAGGTGGGACGCTTGTAGATAGCATATATTTGGATCATGTTTTCTTATCCTTTCAGGTACCCTGTGTCTTTTGATTCATTTACATTTAAGGTTATTATTTCATTTAATTCATTTACATTTAAGGTTATTATTGATAGGTACTTATCTATTGCCATTTTATTTCTTTATGCCTCTGTTTCTCTCTCTCTCTATTTCTACTTCTTATTACAGCAGTCCCTTTAACATTTCTTGCAGTGCTGATTTGGTGGTGATAAATTCCTTTAGTCTTTTTTTGTTTGGGAAGCTCTTTATTTCACCATTTATTTTGAATGATAGCCTTGCTGGATAGAGAAGTCTTGGTTTCAGGTCCTTGTTTTACATTACCTTGAATACTTCATGCCATTCCCTTCTGGCCTATAGAGAGTTTCTGATGAGAAATCAGCTGACAGCCTTACAAAAGCTCCTTTGTAGGTAACACATTGTTTTTCTCTTGCTGCTTTTAATATTCTCTCTTTATCTTGAATTTTTGACATTTTAATTATGATTTGTCTCTTTGGATTCTTCTTGCTTGGGACTCTCTGTGCCTCCTGGACTTGTGTGACTTTTACCTTGACCAGGTTAGGGAAGTTTTCTGCCATTATTTCTTCAAACAGGTTCTCTAATCCTTGCTTGCTTTCAACCTCTTCTGGCAGTCCTATGATGTGAATATTGCTATGTTTCATGTTCTCCCACAGCTCCCTTAAACTGTCCTCCTGTTTTTAAATTGTTTTTTCTTTTTGGTTCTATGATTAAGTGATTTTTTTCTACCCTGCCTTCTAATTTGCTGATCCAGTCCTCAGCTTCCACTAATCTGCTATTTATTCCTTCCAATATTTTTTTATTTCTATGTCATTCTTAATTTCCTTTATAGTTTGCATATCTTTTCTCATGCTGTTGAGCATCCTTATGATCAATATTCTGAACTCTGTATCTGATAGATTGCTTATCTCCATTTCACTTAGCTCTTCTGGGAACTTCTCTTATTCTTTCATTTGGGGCTTGTATTTTTCTTTCCCCATTTTGGCTGCCTGTTTGCATTTGTTTCTATGTATTAGGTAGATCTGCTAGGGCTCCCAGTCTTTTGGATGGTCTCTGGTGCCAGCCAGTGTCAGGTGCTGTTTGTGATTGGCCTTGAGTACCCTGTTTGAAGTTTTCGACACTCCCCAGCTTGTTGTTTCCTTTGCTGGGGCTGGGTGTGTTTGTAAAAGACCAAGATATGCACCAAGGTCTGCTTTCCCAGGCCCTGGGGCCAGAAGCAAATCAGGCAAAGACTCCAAGCACTCAGAAGCTGATTGTTATTCAGTCTCTTAATGAGCCTCAGGCTGTAGAAACTCCACAGGGTGGGGAAAGAAGTTTTCAAATGGGTGGGACAATTGCTCCCCCCCCACCACCAGGCAAAAGCTGCTTGGATGGTAAATGTCTGCCTGAGAAATATCTCCTCTGCACTATGGGGGAATGACTCAGCACAGGATTCCAGATGGCTGCCCTCTGAGCTCTAGCCCCTAAGCCAGCATACATGGATGCTCTTCACACAGCTCTAGCCCACTCTGCCCTCCCTCCGCTAGAGCCCAAGGTGAGTGTCTGCACATGAAACTGTGTGTGTTCTCCAGATGTCTCTCCCTGGCAGACAGAAACCCTGCTGCTTTTCACAGCCAGATGTTATGTGGGTACCATTCTCAGTTCTGATGTTCTGGGCTGGGGCACCAAGCCTAGGGTTTAGACCCCAGAGTTCTTGGTTCGAACCTCCTACAGCTGAGATATCCCTAGGGACCGTCAGTTGCTGCCTGTGGGAGCCCAGCCAGCCGTCTTGTGCCTCCATACTTCCTACCAGTGTCTATGCAGTCTCTACTTTTCCTCTTTGGTTATGTGGATGCGCTCCACCTAGTCTTCAGTTGCAGTTGATTATTCAGGATGGTTTTTCTATATTTTAGTTGTAACTTCAGTTTGGTCCTGGGATAGTGTCATTGTAACTTCCATTCAATCCACCACCGTCTTGAAATCCCTGTAAAGTGCTTTAATTTATTCAGGCTGCTGAAGCAAAATACCATAGACTGGTGACTAATAAACAATAGAAATTCATTTCTCACAGTCTGGGAAGTCTAAAATCAAAGTGCACACAGATGCCGTGTCTGGTGAGAGCCTCCTTCCTGGTTCATAGATAGCTGTATATTTGCTGTGTCCTCATATCCCTATACTCTTTATTAAAGAAAGGAAGGGCTACAAATGAACTTCTCCAAAACGAAAGTATTCCATATATATATATATATATATATATATATCTCACCTATCTTTTCACTAGTTTG